TCTAGGCAGTGCACAATAAAATGTCAAAATATAAAAACAGCATATGAAATTAAAATGTTAAAATTAAAAAATTGAAATTATTGTTTTAGAGGAAGGCAGCAATAATTAAACCCTGTTAAAAATAATTTAAAAAGTGAAGGGAGGGCTCTTAGGGCATCAACCAGCTGTACCAGCTGCAGGCTTCTTTCGGCTCCCCACACGAGACATTATTGTTATGTAGGTGGGGATTGGAATTGTATTAGGCAACTGTTCTTGTGCTCTCTCATTTGTCAAGTAGCTTAACCCTCAGCTTTAAGCCCTGACATCTGATTGTCCTTCCACAATGAAAAATACTGTGTTTGATGTTATCCACTGAATCGTATCTGACCCTTGGTAATTCTATGGATCAGGTCTTTCCACATCTTCCAGTCTTGCACTTCTTCTTCTTTGGAAAAAGAAGAAGTGTATTGAATTGCAATGGGTATTTGTGTTTCCTTGTTCAACACCTCAAAGTGTAGCCAACATATCTATTTTGCTTGCTGGAAACCAAGAAACTAGCTTAGTAGACCATGTGTTCTATTTTCTTCACTGTCCATTCTCCTTATTACTACAGAATTAAAGGCATTTTGAATAACCATTCGCTAGATAATCTGAGCAAGCAGGTGCTACTGACATCATACCTTGTTCGACTTTTTTATTTACTTGGCTATTCATGGAAGATAAAGCTGAGCTAGGTTGATCCAAATAAGTAGAGTTCATCTTATACTCCTGTGTTCTCCTTTAGAATCAGAAAAAATGAGACAATTTCTGCTCATAGAAAATGGAAAAATAGAGAACTTTACTCAAACTAGACTTCCAATGGAGCACATGCAATTTCTCCATCTGGTTTTCCCCCCAACAAAAACTATATTCCTAGAAGACTTCTTTTAATCCATTTGTAAAATATAGATATTTTTTTTAACTAATGATAGCAGAGCGGTAATTATATGTGCCGTTCCTAGTTTTATATAGGAGGCAATGTAAGAATAACACCATTGAACTCCCCAATAACAACAAATATAGGAGTACTAAATTATGCATTTTGCATCTTAAATGTCTAGTTTCAGGTGTTGATGCTCTTTAGGTTGTTTCACAGCGTATAGTCCTAATGGAGGAGAAAGAAGATTGACACAAATGCCTGGTTATTTTAGATATTTTGATTTGGATAAAGCTGACTAAATAGAGACAAATTATCTTATTCAATTGTAATATTTGTTTGCAATTGGGTTTCTTTGTCCCCATATACTTAAGTTTCCAAGAAACACCTGGGTGAAATCTTATTACTGGATATAATTTTAGTATGTGATGCATGCTATATTGTAGATACAAATCTGACAAAGGGAATTAATTACAACTTTTAAATTACACATTAGACATAAAGCAGGTCCCTGAAAAATACTGCTTTGGCAGTATTATTTTACAAATCACCCCAGATTTCAAGAGGAAAGTTTGCTGCTGGAAAATATCAAACTATTCCCACAAATTATTGTAAAGTACAGTAAATGATTAAAAGATGTCATTTCCCCATAACAGAAGCTCTTACTTTTGTAAAATCTGTCTAAAACTTTCTCTCCCAGTTCTTGTCCTTGGTGGAATAACAGCTGGATTTTTATTGTGCAATAATGCAATTGTTTGGAGAATATGGGCAGGATGTAAATGGCTGTCATGATCTCAAGGTTTCTTGGCAAGTTTGGTTGGCATAGATATTTATCAGGTGTTTTCCCTACTGATTTACAGTTAGAAACTGGATTGCAACTCCTCCACATCTGCCAAGTTCTTTGCTAGGCCTCAGCAAAAGCAGAGATATTTTCCTAATAAGGGGAGTGCATAGTTAAAAGTTGTTTACAAATTAGAGGAACTTAATAAAAGCTATTTTTAAAAAACCTCTATGGAACTATATACAGGAACTTCAAGTGTTTTGCAGCATGAACTTTCCCTCTATGAGGGAAATACGTGGTTAAGAACTTTGATATATAAATAAAAGGAAACTGCCAAAACTGGGTTAGCCAGAGAACTACTTTTAGATGGCTCCAGTGAGTCAGTGGGTAAGAAAGAGCAATCCAACAAAACTGACAAAACATGGCTGATAGAATGATCAGGAGACCTGCTTTATAGTAAGGGAAGAGAAGGACTTAAACATAATATCTTTCCTTCCATAGTAAGTTAAGATTTTAGACCAAGTTTCCTCCCCTATTTTAAAGAACTATGTTAGGCTTAATACTGTGAGTGCAGAAAGCAGGATTCTGAAATAGCAAGCCACTCTGGAGCTGTTGGCGCCACAATCTTGCATTAGCATATTAAAATTTAGAAAAATATGGGCCTTCTTCTTAATTAAGACATTACATTTCTTTTTCTTTGTGGTTAAGAGTAAGTGGCCCTTCTAATTGCTAGAGTTTTGCAGCATGAACTCACATTTGAAAATCTCAACATTTTCTATGGACAGTACAAAGCAACTGCTCCCCAATGGTCTTCTTCCTGAGATTTTGTAGTTCCAAGGAAAAGAAATTAAGAAATGCAATTAGGTTTAAAATAAGGGACCATGGCTTATGTTACATGGACGTATCCAACTTTTTAATATGATAAACAGAATGAGGGGATTTCTATTTGTAACTTCTATTTGCCTAGAAAAAAATAGACATGTTATAATACTGTATCCTTTGGAAAGCCAAAAAAATTCTGTCGATCCACATATTCACTTTTTCTCATCTCTCTTTAAAACTATGATAGATCCACCACAACTCAAAAACCAGAAGAAATTATGGAACTTTTCATATGCTTTTATTACCTGCAGAGAAAATTGAATGCATATTTTTGACTAATGGGACTTATAAGGGCTGAAGATGGCAAGATGAGGATTCAGAGCAGAGAACGCCTTTGTAGAACACTGGTCAGATCCACAGTAATCATATGGCTGGGGGAAAAGCAGTTAACAATCAGCTAACAGGAAACAATTGGGGAAAAAGTCACAAAGTTGGGGCTATTGGGTTTGCAGCAAGCCAATTCTCGGCACATATATGGATTCTTTGCTTGCAATAAAACAACATATCTAGCAGTGTCATGTCCTTAAAACTTCTGTTAGCTACTTCTTGAATATGAGGGCAAGCTTCTAGAAAAATAGTGATAAATAGCCATGTCTGGCCCAAACTCTCATATAAATACTGTTCAAATTTGGTAAATCAAGTTACATCTAATACTAGATGAATATCAGATTTGTATGTCCTTAGCAAAGAACCTCACATGCACATACAAAATAAATTTGACAAATCACTCCAAGGCAAACATATATTTTAATTTTCACAAAACAGAATAAGTTGGTATTTTAAATCTTCAGATGGTGTTGTATTTCTGGCTTTGGGAATGGGGATAAATTAAAAACAATGGGATCCAGCCATAATAGAATTTCTTTTTTAAAATCCAAATATATACATACTGAGCAGGTGTCCAATGTGGCTGTGTTGACTTGGATTCCGCTTAATGGCTGAGATGCCTCACACTGGACTTACAATGAAGCTACAGGAGATGGTCTCCCATCTTACATGGATGAGTATAGCTGTTCGATGAAATGCATTGACCTTGGATTGGGGCCTTAACTTAAAGAGTCTACCTTGTATTAACAAGTAAAAATGGTGAGAGGTATTTTTTTAAGTAAACAAAAGCCAGCTTTTGTAAATTTTCACAACATCACAATGACCCCAAGAAACACTTAAAAAAAAAAGTAGTACAAGTAATAAGACTAGAGGAAGGTCATCCACTGCTCTGATATTAGCAGACTGTCTTGGCTGAGCTTGGCAAAGGATTAGAAAGACTGAATACTTTCATAAGATTTGCTGCATTTCCTGTTAAGTGCTCTGTATCTTTACAGACCATCAAGGCGAAACAGACCGAGACAGATAGACAGTCCAAAGAGACATTCCATTTTGCTGAATTAGTTCCTGATGAATATGAAATCAAAATGTTATTTATGTAATCATTACAATTTATCCCACCCTAGAATTTATTTGGCCATTTACTCACTAGTGACTTATAGCAGTTTATTAATGATTTGTTGCTTCAGCAATGCTATAAATCTGTAGGGAGGAAATAGTTTATTTCACTTTCATCACAATCCATACTATCAGTGGCTATCATTCAAAATACAATCTGCCAAACAAGAGTTTCAGGTTTCAGACAGGAATCAGACACTTGAAAGCTGACTGTGCTAATAAGCCAGATCTACCCTGTGACTTAGAGTGAATAATACTTTGAAATGCAGATAGCCCAAGTAACTCATATATTTAACCATTTTGCAGCTAAAGCAATGGTCAACGTGGCTCTCCAGATGACACTGAACTGCAGTTTCTATTGGCTTATCTAAGGTGGCAGATGGGCAAGTGATACAGTATTTTAATTTAGCAGTATAGGGAGGCCCGCTGGTTTCTGTTTCTGCAGTTTAGTCATTGGTGTGATTTTGAAAAAATGTTCTCGAGACTTTCATAGAGCTTTAGAGAGAGGTAGCATTTTTCATCCTGGGGGGGGGGTCACAACTCATCTTGCTAACTTCCTTCAGATTTTCAGACAATGAGATGGTGATGTCACCAGATTTTTCAGAAAGATGAGGAATTATTTTTGTTGTAAGAATGGAGGAGAATATATGTTGTGCAGGGCTGAAGAGAGGGTGGGGTGAGAGTCATTCTCTGTTACAGCCATTTTCACTTCATTTTTTGCTGATTTTAAAGGAGAATCTCCATGCTAAGACATCCTCCATTCCAATATACAGGTAATTATTCAGATGAAAAAACACACACCTTTATCTTCTGTCAGTGCAGAATCAACCTGTGGTATCAGGTACTTGAAAGCCATAATGGATGCGATACACCAGGGGTCTTCAAACTTGGCCCTTTATGACTTGTGGACTTCAACTCCCAGAATTCCTCAGCCAGCTTGTCTGAGGAATTCTGGGAGTTGAAGTCCACAAGTCATAAAGGGCCAAGTTTGAAGACCCCTGTGATACACTATCCTTATCACTTGTTCATCTGTGATGTCACCAATTATAATGATGTAGGCTTGTGAACTATATGTTTATTTGCTAACTTAGCCATTCATGGGGTGGGGCCATAAAGAGCTTTGTTTTTGTCACAGCTGCGTGGGTTGAGTAAATGAGATAATTTATGTGTGTCCTTAGAAAAGCATTTAACTTAATCTTCTACCATGTGGATACACTTGGATCAGCAAAGATTTGTTTTCAGGTAAACGCCACTTCCCCTTAGTCCTCTTCCTCCATTTCCTCCTCTGAGTGATCTTCATTTTTCAAAGGGTCACTGAATTCAAAATTTCCTTCAATGTCCAGCACTTGCAGGTGCTTTAGTCTTTGGAAAGTGCTTTCTTTCACAGCACTGAATGCAATCTTGTTAAACCTTGAAATTGAAAGGAAAAAAAAATGAATAGAATTACCTCCCAATACTTTATGACAATGTCCTTCCTTGTCCTATAAATTCTATACTAAGAGGAGGATACCACGAAAATGGCTTTTTATAAGGACAAAGGAGGTTAGTCTGTTTCTCTCCATTTTATGCTCACATTTCAGCTTTGGGGTTTCGTCTCCAGCCATTCTACCTTTCTTTATTCTTACAATTGATGTCTTACAATTTCAAGAGATTTCTGTATGCATAAAGGTAGAAAGGTAGCCCTCTACTTGGGCCCAAAATTTCTATTGCTAAATGAAACATGTGTTATGTGAATTTTGTCCCATTTTACGACCTTTTTTGACAGAGTTGTTAAGTGAATCACTGCAGTTGTTAAGTTAGTAACACAGTTGTTAAGTGAATCAGACTTCCCCATTGGCTTTGCTTGTCTGAAAATCACAAAAGGTGATCACATGATCCCAGGACACTGCAACCGTCAAAAATATGAGTCAGTTGCCAAGCGTCTGAATTTTTATCATGTGACCAAGGGGATGCTGCAATGGTGTGAAAAACAGTCATAAGTCACTTTTTTTCAGTGACGTCGTAACTTCCAATGGTCACTAAATGAACTGTTGTAAGTTGAGGACTACCTGTACTGTATCTGACAAGGATTCATAAGCACAACAAATGCACAATTTCTTGTCCATGAACAATTAGCACACATAATGAAACATGCTTGAAGTGCAGTATAGAGTTCATACATAAAGGAAAAGGTATCTTTTACATTTTTGAAGGCATTAATATTTTTCTGAGAGTCTTTTTCCTGGCTACACACCTGAGGTAAATTCCCTTTATATTGGGGGTAGAATCAAAGGCATCCTCTGGCACAGTGCTGATCTTGTTGCTCTGGAGATACAGATACTCGAGAGTTTCTGGTAAACCAGATGGAATAGAAGTCAGATGATTGGCAGCCATGTCCAGTATCTGGAACAGGATCCACAAGAGAATAATTTAAATAATTAACGGAAGTCATTCTGATGCTTTGAAAAGAGTAAATTGCTATAAATCCCACATCCTGTCATTCATTCAGATCTGTATTTTGTAGGTGCTAGGTTTACACACTAGTGAGATAGCCACAATACTGCAACCATTAGTGCCCAATAGTGGTGTGAAAGCTCTCATCTCTTCCCAGCAAATCGTCACTGTATTTCTTATCCTTCTCCTTCACAGTCACACAGACACACCACCACTTTTGATATTGCACAAGTTCACTTGTCTGTTCTGTAGTGTTACTTCTTTCATCCCCGTCACCTAACATATTAGCAAGAGGAGTCCCAATTCTTTCATGTATACATTGAAACACAGCTATGGAAATGAGCTGAATCTGGGTGCGAGGTGAACTATACCCTTCCCTTCCTTTGAGGTTTGCTTTGACTTCTGTTTTCTGCCTTTTGGTTTTGCTTGCTGTAGATTTATTTTGGGGAACTGACAAACTGAATGGCAACAACATAATGTCTGGTGCTTCAGATTCTGCCCATATAAACAGGACAGAGGGAACTCATTGATTACAGCTTCTGATTGCTTACTGTCACTGCTTAATTGTTCATGGCTTGTGACTAAGGTTCAATATTCCATATACTTTCATACAACTATGAAAGAATTAGACATTTCATACTATGTGAAACCATCAGGCTATGTATCTCAATAGTATATACATCCAGGTTTGAACAACTTGTGGCCCTCAAGCTGCCTGTGGCCCTTGCCCCAATTTCAAAACTTAGCATGAGTGATATGTTCAGATATTTAAGAATTATCTCTCCCTTACCTATGTTTTCCTCAGAAGAGGGGAAAAAAAGGTTTTAGAAGGGAAAATTAAAAAAGAGATTGGGGATAATGGGTGTTGTACAATTTTTAGCTCTTCTCTCTCCCTCTCTTTCTCTCTCTCTCTCTCACAGAGAATTTTCTTCAAGTCAGCCCAATATACAGCCTCCAAGAGATTGCAAGGAGTCCTTGATTTATGACCACAATTGAGCCCAAAATTTCTGTTGCTAAGCAAGACAGTTCTTAAGTGAATTTTACAAGCTTTCTTGATACAGTTGTTAAGTGAATCACTGCAGCTCTTAAGTTAATAACACAGTTGTTAAGTGAAACTAGCTTCCTCATTGACTTTGCTTGTCAAAAGGTTGCAAAAGGTGATCATATGACCCCCAGGACATTAAATAAGTGTGTTGCAGTTAAAAATTGCTGTATTTTTTTTCCAAAAAAAGACATTACTGGTATCACAAGGACTTTACAAATGCATAGTAGGGCATGTTAATTCCATGGTTAGAGATAGAAATGTCTTTGATTCCTTAATATTCCACCCATCTCAATATACCTGTTGGTTTTTTATTCCCTCCTCCCCCTTTTACCCCTCTACAGAACTTCAGATTCTATGGTAAACTAGCATAATATTTACTTTTTTTCATATTGTGTGGTTTGCATCATTCTTTCGTTTTATATCTATTCTAGCTGTGATTTTCTCAGAACATGCAGCTTAATTTTTCTCTCATAGATCTGCCTATATGAAAGAGTTATATACTATTTTTGATATCATTTATATGCATCTCTAGATCTAGACCTTTGCTTGTTTGTACCTTAAGACTGGCGAGATCTCTCCATGATCCGCTGTGAATTAAATTGTTTTTCAATTTGTTGGCACTCAGATACAGCTCCTGTAGCTTTGCCATTCCAGAGAGTGTGCCTTTGGGAATGGAACTGATCAAATTCATTTTTAACTTGAGGCTTTGCAGATTCTTGGGGAAGCCATAAGGCATGGTGCGGAGTTTATTGCCAGAAAAATCCAAGGACTTCAGTAGTTTCAGTTTACGGAAAGACTCCCGGTGAATCTGTGAGCTAGTGATCTTATTGTAACTCAGGTTTAGTTCCTCCATGAAATAAGTGGTAGCAAAATCTTCCCTGCCAATTTCTGAAATCTGATTGTAGAGAATCATAAGAGTTTTTACTCGTCTGGGCAGCCCACTGGGGATTTTTTCCAGTAGGTTGTTGTACAAATGAACAGTGTGCAATTTCTTCAGGCCATGAAAAGCCAGTGGATGGATCTCTCGGGCCTTCAGTTTGTTATTATGAAGCAGAAGATATTCCAGGTTCTTGATTTGGGTCAAGACATCATTACCAATTGATCTTATTGCATTCTTCTCCAAGTGGAGAAGAACAATGTTTCGAGGCAAACCGGGTGGAATCTGGGAAAGGTTATTGCTAGACAAATCCAGGTACTCAAGGCTTGAGAGTTTCCTTGGGAGAAAAAAAGGAATTCCTTTTAAGTATTTAAGTAGCAAAACACAAAGTGTTAGCAGAGGAAAAATAAATAGGTTTTGCTTCTGTTCCTAATCACTGAAGCAATTGGGATAACTATACCTGCAACTCTGCCAGACCTTTTTTTTTCATATGTACAGAAAAACTGTTGCTATCTATACAGTTCATGATGAATAAACCCCAGTTCAAAAATCCACACCTAATGATTGCCCCTTTAAAGCAGCACGAACAGGGAGTGGTCAAAAAAAGACAATCTGGCAGCCATGACAATGTGCTCAAAATTCTTGGGTGGAGATTCAGTCACACCATTATGGCCGACAGCTTTTCTGACCACATCTTGCAGACACTTGAAGAAGCCCCTTCTCGTAAGCTGCCATTTTAATCTCCTGAAGAACTAGATAAACATTTATCCAAGCTTGTCAAAGGCTAAATCAACTCCAGTTTCCAGTTTAGTATCTTAATCAAAGAATGAGACAAAAAAGGAGTCAAAAATTGTCAATTATGTCTTACAATAAAAGAAAATAAATATGGATCCCTGCTTAGAAGAAGAGTCCCATGGTAGTTTGGAACCATGCAAAGTAACCCAGCTGCTATTATCCACTAAATGTGCATCCATTAAAGACTAACAAACTCACCAGAAGGTTTCATTGTCCATCCCCTTATTGGTTAATTTATTATTCTGCAAATATAGTTCTCGAAGTTCTGACAGCTCATTGAAAGCTCCTACAGGAATCTTCTCCAATTTGTTATTCTGTCCAGAGACAAAGGGAGCAGGCTGTGAGTCTCTTCACTGAATCTTCAGTCCTCTGAGTATAAGAGGGATGTTCTAAGGTGGTTGCAGTGACAGGAAGAGGCCAGAGAATATAAGAAGGCAATCTCTAGAATTTCCTGCCAGATTTTTTTCTGTTCTAGTGCTTCTACTGTAGGATATCATTCCCAGGGGTATCTGCAGGAAGGAGATCAAAATCTACTCACCTCCTGAGATTTGTTTGGCATTGTGCTGGTATAATTTGGCTGCCACTGCTTTTTAAAGACGCTATCAGGTGGTTTTCTTTTGTAATTGTTTGATAAATTCTTGAGCAAACAATATGATCCATAAATATAATAACTAAGCAGTCAATGTATTCAATAATTCAAAAGAATAAGCTTTATAAAGGCTGAGGTTCTGACATGCAATGGAACTGATATTCTACCTTAAGATGTAGCTTATACAATGCTCGTGGTAGATTCTTCGGAACATATTTTAAGAAGTTGCTGGACATGATCAAGATTTCCACGTTGTCAGAACCATTGAACATGTTTTCTGGTAGTCCGGCATCATCAAGCTTATTGTTGTGAAGATAGACGGACCTATCAGAAGAAAACAGATGGTGGTAGGGGAAGAGGAGACAGAAGGAGACAGAGATAGACAGAAACAAGGCTGGGAATCAAGCCTATGCTGCTTGATTGTTTTCTGAAAATAACATCTCTATTATATATCAACTACTCCTCAAGTTAGCAACTATCCACACTCTTCCCACCAGATATAATTCAATACAACTCTATCATGCTTCCATTTACCTGTTTAAAGCTAAAGTATTCCAATATTTCTTCACAGAAAACTTGCTGTCGAATCAAGTCAGTTGCTTTTTGTTTTAATTTTTATAACTCTAAACTAAGGGCGTCTCTTTACTTATCCTAGCCCTGGGACCAACATGTACAGGTAACCCTTTTCCTCCCTGGTTTCCCATGACACTACTTTCATTGCATCTCCAGCCAGGAGCAAGAAGACAGCCTAATGTTATCCTTAACTGTATTGTGGTTGAAATAGCATTTTCCCCTTACTCCGTCAAGGGCACCCTCCAAATTCATAATATCTATTTTTACCCATGAGCCTTTATCTCATGGAGGAAAGTCAGACAGTGGCTGGGAAGAGGCCAATAGTACAGAGTAGGGAACAACAATTAGGATAGACCCATCACAATTAAAGAAATATTTCTCTTGAAAACCCCTGCAATCTTAAATTAATCTCAGCAATATATTAGAGAATTATTTTTCTATGTTGTTTTCAAAAGGGTATCGTCTAAGTTATTATGAGCCTTGCGATCCACCTAAAACAAAAAAAGTGGATAGGTCAAATGCATGGGATTAAATAACAATGTTTTTCTTGACACAAAATTATTTTGGAATTTTCTGAATAGTAAAACAATCAGTCTCACCCTTTCCAGTGAAATATGTGGTAATGCAGATGTTTGATTGTGAAAATGACCCAAGACTGCATAATTTGGGACAGTTTGATGCAGAGGATAAGCTCAGTGACAGACCCCTAGAAAACCTTGGTTCAATCACAGGCCACAGAAGGCAGCCGATGAATGTAAGCAATGCTGAGATGGGGGGGGATTTAACTTGGGCAAGAGAATTCCCTACATTTAGAGATGGGGAGAGAAGGAGGGCTGAGTTTTTGAATTCTGTTCAGTTACAAGCATTTTGTAATTTGTAAAAGCTGTACCTTTCCTGGACCTGTGATGTGGAAACCATAGTAACATTTAAGCCAAACAAACAAATAATTGTGAAAGCAGATATAATTAAATTTTGCAAGATTTCGGTCTTCTTGCAGGACATCCTACAAGATGTCAGTCCTTCTAATTTATTATATTTTATATATTTATTTATAAGATGCTAACATGTTATATATGTTTGTTTGGATCTCTTCCTCCTGAAAGAAATATATTCTTACAAACAATGATTATACGACTTTACATGCTGCTTCTGCTGCTGCTGTTTCCGATGATTAAACCTCCACCTTTTTTTCTCGAAACCTCTTTTTTTTTTTTTT